GGCCCTGTATACATCCTTATTTACGAATTGTATCGAATGTAATATCAGAAACGATTTGTTTATTATATATCGATACGTATATTCAACTACTATCTGTCATGTGGATTCTGTTAGACCGTGTACATTACGTGAATAGTCTACACTTTCGGGACATTGTAATGTTTATTCTTCTGTATTGTTCACACACTGTTTTCCTGGTATTACTGCCTGTATATAAATTTCAACAAAACAGATTTATCCTATGTATTATGGTGCCAGAAATATCATTTATCGAGTTAATTTTGATCCACCCATTATACTTCAGTCATGTTGTGTGTTAATTGAATTTTTGTTGCTGTAAATGCAGAGTCATACCAGTAGTTCAATGATTATTCTGAAAGTCACGTTTTTTGATATTTTTACTCTCATGTTGGACGTTTTGATACACTTCTTTCTTCCATCGAGTGAACACACGTGAATTCCAATCAATTCTACAAGTTATCTTTCCTTGAGTTGTTCCGATTAATTCTCTCATTTTTGTCGATATCTCGCAGACTTTGATGGAAACTGCTTTCAGAGTACCCTAACGATCATGTTGATGAAAGAGAATGACGTTGTTGTTCTATGGTTCACCCCATAGTACCATTTTCCCCAAAGCATGTCCTTGTCGATGTTATTAGGAATATAAAATGAAATTGAGGATACATATTTTGTCGATAACTCTATTTGATTTGTCGCAGGTCATACTTTATTCAGATATCCCTGTATATGGTTTACGTCAAAGTCTGTTCTGGAGATGTCTCATACATATCAGATGTTCCTTAACTACAATTCCACTTGAGGTTTTTCACCTGTTTCCCTTCTCCACCCTGTATATATTTTTCGACTAATTTTTTTTCCTTATACCAACTCTATATGTTACGTACGTCAACGTTCTACTATAGATGTTCAATCTCAGATCCGTGTATCCTTTTTCAATTGAAATAGCTGAATGGCTGAAAAGAGTTGTGCATCGGAACGTGTATATTTCAGTGGAATATCGATCATTCTGCAACGTCTGACAACACTGTTCTAGGTAGGCAACTGATTAAAGTTTCCGCGCGTGCCTTTAGCTGGAAATGTGTGGTTTATTTCGATATCAGGATGGCATACTCGGAGAATTGCTGCTTGAATAAGCATATCTATTAATACCCTAGTACGAAGATGCCTCTGAGAATGATGTGAATGGTGATTTTTTATTTATTTCATCTCTTGGTGTGTACGAGAGGAAATTCCTATGATATTCGTCACGTGCGTACCTATAAGGAGGATAGGGAGGGAAGGTAGGTGTTTCAACTTTTGAATGAGTTTGGTAGAGTGTTGTTCGACATATTTCAAGGTTAACGACGAAAGGATGTGCTGACTGGACCTGTCGAGGTCGTCTGACTGGTATTGCTAGTGATGGAATTATAGCAGAGATTTCTGAGGAACATTTCCCTTGGAAGTATCTATCATTTTTTAACGATTTTGAACTTCTTTCCAACGTTTTCGTGGCGTTTCTGTGACGTTTTGGTAACGTGTTTACGATTCAGTTTTTTTTTTCCTAGTCATCCTGCATATGTCTTTCTCGATTTTTCATTCGACTCTGACTATTTGTATTATCCTGTATATTATGATTTTGATTTCCTCATTATCATCTGTCATCTGCCATACGCCATCTCCCTTAAGTCTGTTATACCTGATCGTTTGCTTTCGGCTACGTTAGGAGCACCGGAAATATCATCACGATATCCTCAAAATGTGATAGTGGTCTCTGACTGGTCGGCTGAGTCACGTTTTTCAACCCGGAAGGTGGAGAAGGGGGGTGGTCTCAAGCGTTTGCTCTGGGTGAGGTTTAAAGCACCAGGAGTATCACCAAAGGTATACATTATCTATCAAGCGTTATCTGCCATATGTCAAATGTCAATCGTATACGGCATATGTTATATATCGTATTCGGCGAGGATGATAGCACTATGATTATAATGGGACAGTATACAATATCATGAGAGCCGAACATGCCCGTTTGATTCCAGTGAAGTTAGAATCACCAGGATATGAGCTATTGAGCAAATTCGACAGGATGTAAGCATGAACCGCAGTTTCGGACACACCCTGTATGCCTCTGAAGTTTTCCATTCTTGATTGGCTCGTGATGTCATCAGGCACCTGCTAATAAAATGAGGTTTCAAGATTGATGATATCTCTCAGCGAGAACAAAGGAGACATTGTTGGGTGACACTTTAGCCATCTGCACTTGAACAATTGACCCCAAATAAAGATGATGCAATCGGATAAGGTTGTTACGTAATTGGACACCCATGAGAGCCGAACATGACCGTTTGATTTCAGTGAGGTTAGAATCACCAGGATATGAGCTATTGAGCAAATTCGACAGGATGTAAGCATGAACCTCACTTTCAGACACACCCTGTATACCTCTGGAGTTTTTCCATTCTTGAATGGCTCGTGAAGTCATCAGCCACCTGCTAACAAAATGAGGTTACAAGAATATCTCTCAGCGAGAACAAAGGAGGCTTTGTTGGATGACTCATCGGCCACCTGCGTCAGAACAATGGACCCATTGTTCTCTCACAGATAAGGATGATGCAATCGGATGAGGTTGTTACGTAATCGGACACCTGCAAACAAAGGCGGCATTGTTCTCGTATAATATTGCGTCGCAATTTCCCAATAGCCGGAATTCCAAGAAACGCTGTGGCATAGAGAGAACAAAGGCGGCATTGTTCTAGAGGAAGGCTAGATAACATATGGCAAACAAAGGAGGCATTGTTCTACGAAGTCGAGATAAGGATGACTCATCGGCCACCTGCAACATGCATATCGGGTGACCTTGAAACAAAGTGCTACCAATTGTAGTAATACCAACCTAAATCTGGTGGGCAAAGTCACTAGATTGTGACGTCATCCACCACCTTTCAAAAATAAGAAGAAGAATGTCCACGCCCATAAGCATTAGTGTCTAGAGTCCGGAGTCCAGAGTCTAGAGGGCTAAGTTCAGAGTACTTGCACGTGTCATTCCTTGTGTTCCATGTCATCTGTCACTTGTCATCTGTCACTTGTCGGTCACCTGTCACTCTTTGTGTTCCATGCCATCTGTCACCCCTTGTGTTCCATGTCACCTGTCACTTGTCATCTGTCACTTGTCATCTGTCGCTTGTCATCTGTCACTTGTCATCTGTCACTTGTCATCTGTCACTTGTCATCTGTCACTTGTCACCTGTCACTTCCGGCGGCCATCTTGTCACCCGTGCAGCCAACACCTTTCACCACAGGAACGGTTGTGACGTCACTTCCGGCGGCGGCCATCTTGTGTTGATACCGGCCTAGGTACACTACTGTCAAAAATTCTCAAAAATCAATATCAACAAAGAAGCGAGCTGTATGCAAACTGCGAAACTGAAAAATAAGCAAAATAGATGATCAGATTATTTCTTACACAGAGAGAGAGAGTGAGAGAGCAACCGATCACCACAAAGACTGAGCAGGAAATGAAGTTGGATCATCATTGCAATTAGGGTATTCGACACACCTAAGGGTGAGCCCAAGAGTGGAGGGGGGTAGGATGAGCAGCTCTAATCACGTTCGGACGAGTCCATTATTTTGGAGAAAAAGGTAATGCAATATCTCCGCCGTACTTCGGCGCGTGTCGAGGTCAATTTGTGGTAAGTAAAAACTTTGAATAACGAAAATTGCTCAAGATGAAAAAATCATTTCTTCTACATATTATCAACATGTTTTTTATTTCGTGTCGTATGCACTTATCATGAAATGTTCAGAACTTTATATAATTTCATGTTTCCAGATATTTTTTTTTATCGCTTGGAGCGCACGAAAGGGAATCCCTATAATGTTCGAAGAACATCGTGCGTTCCTAGGGAGGATAGGGACAGTAGGTAGGTATTGGATTTTTTTTCGAACTTTTGGAGATTATATGTTGTTGGGAATACTTCCACAGGCAATGAATTCCAGAGCCTAGCCGTTCTATGGATGAAGGAGTCTTGATAAAGTGCTGTTCGACATCTTTCGAGGTTGACAACGATTGAAGGAGCCTGATAAAATAACAAATGGCAGTTAAGGATTTGATTAAACAGGTATGTGTGTTTCTCATAAATAATCAATTGTTCTCTGGAACACTATTCTAATCTTTGAAAAAGCTATTCGACTCATGCAGCTGGCAACTGTAGTAGAGCAAGGCCCTCCATCAATTTCCAAAATCAGTTCTTAAACGAGGATTTGGAAATGTACGCCTCGATGCCACATCTCTCAGCCCACTCCGTTAGAAGCCTAACGTTGACCCTCTTCCGGATATTTTCCATCGTCTTACCAAAGACGGCGTTATTAGTCTAACGTCCTTATCGCCATGAATTTCCAAAAATCAGTTCAATATACTGGTTTCCATTGAAAATGTTTCATAATATCTTCAATATCTGGTGTGATATATTGATTACCTTCATCAGCAATTTCTACAGTACTGTCTATATTTGACATTGAAGGACTGACTAATTCACGTATAAAAAAAAAAGTTATGTGCCATGAAAATCAAATACAATAATAATAATAAACATTTCAAAACTGACGCAGGGTTTGAATTTATCCTAAGCGAATATACTAAAACACCTATAGACCAATCACTTACAAATTAAATTTTGCCATATATGTAAAAAAATAACAACTATTTTATACAATACCTGGCAAACTCTGTTTTGCCATATAAGTACATTATTTCTAGAAAATGTAATTTCAGTTGAATATTCATCAACAGACTTTTTATCATTATTGGCTATCTATAAAAGCGTGTTTCATTAGTTTTTCGAACTATTATTAATCACAAAGCTCTCAATCACCATATTGGATCCTCCATCTTGAATTCCTTAATTTCGATATCTATATATCAGATAATCAATGTTCTTGATTGAAACATTCGGGTAGTACTTTCTCTAATTAGTATAGTATTTGCAATATATCCTATGACGAAGTTGTCATTCAATATCGCTTAGCATCTTTGCGAGCATTTTTAGTTTGTTCAATACTGCAAACATTGTGTACATAGGAGAATTTATGCTGCATAGCGCTTAGTGTGCAAAACCCTTGAATCTTCTTCTCATGCTAAACTGTATGAAGTTATTGTAACGCCACGAGGATTTCCGTGCACTTTTCCTTGAACATGTTTCTAGTCTTTTGTAATCTGAGATTCAATTCTCAATATTTTTCGAGTGTTTAACGAGGAGATGCTCGTAATTCGTCCGAGATTGAAGCAGTGGGGGTTTCAATGGAGGATGAAAAGAGCTATCCAAGACTAGGTCTCAACCCCAGTGACAATTTTTTTTTCTTCGGTTCAACTTCGAAATAATCTTGTGCACATACTGAGACTTTGCGTCTCATACTCTACTGCAGTTTCAGATGACATCTGTTTGGTAAAACGATGGACCAGCTGTAGAAATACTAGATGCACTATGATGATGATGAGAGCGTGGAGTTGAGCAACACAGATGCCCGTCATGTACAATTGACCGTTAAACAGAAGACAAGCAAGCGTCGTTAAAAATCATTGCTCAAGTAAGTATGCGCATGCATATGTGGTTTTGCTCTATATGTTGGGAATATATGTGGCAATTCAATGACCCAGAGGGGAATTTTTTTTTATTAGGATAATGATCACCAATATTGTCATCGTGACATCAATTTTGTAATCAGATGTCAACAATTGCTAGATGCTATCAGGCCTCAGACACTTTGCTGAGTACCCATTTCATGTTTCAGTTCAGTATTAATAAAAATCAAACGAGATTCAAAGCAATACTATTTATTTCAACTAAAATACCGAAAGACCTCTACACATCCTATGCTTTAATTTTATTTCATCTTCTTTCCTGGAATCCCCTTCTATTATTCCTTCTTTTCGTAGTATGTCTAGAATTGAAATAATTTCACTATCATAATATGGGCCAGAATGCCATATTTCTCTCAATCTATCAACGAATTCGTTTGGGTCTACCATATTATCATCAACATCTTTGATTCCTTCGCTGTCCTCATCGAAGTTGTTATCGTAGATTCTTGGCAAAGTTTCATGATCGGAAGGTGGGGTGTCAGTCGAACTGTAAGACGAATACTTGACAGGTCGCGATTCCTTACTCGGCTTGATCATCTCCAATCTTGTTTTGTTCGTGGGTTTCATAGACGGTTCGAGTGCCAAATATTTATTTCTCACAATTTCAGCTGAGTCCATAATTTTCTGATCTTTATCTTCGATTTTATTTTCACAAGGGTCATCCGTAGCGGCATCGCCGTTCATGTCGTTATGACTCAACTGCTGACCAATCTCAGAATTCGACTGGCTTTGGGACAATAATTGGTGATCACTATCAATGGAGTTCGACTCATTTCGTTGACCGATTTCAGTGGTGATCGATTCGTTTTGGGGATTAACCAGGTCGTTTCCTTTGTGCTTTCTCGCCAAATGTTTTTTCATGCTATCCAATCTTGTGAATTTGTCCACACATTAATGACAATTGAAAGTTTTTCGTCATGACTATCCATATGCCGCTTCAATCCATAGGCCCACTTGAATTTCTTGTTGCATTGCTGACAAGCAAACATCTCAAGACTTAATATATTTTTCTTCCTACTATGATGTTAACAGTATGAAGTCAGGACAACAACTGACATCTTTATAAACCCGACACTAACCATACCGTCACACCATTCACACCGCCATTCACACAGCCATGCACACCTCCACACTACCATTCACACAGTCACACCGCCATTCACACCGCCACAACGCCATTCACACCGCCATTCACACCGCCACACTGCCATTCACACCGCCACACTGCCATTCACACCGCCATTGACTCCTGCCATACTACCACTTAGTTAGCCCTGTCACTCATATAGAGTGACTTTTTTTTGTGACGCATGCGCACACCTCTTTCAAAATGATGGCCTATTTGATTCGCGAGAATTTGTACAACACTTGCAACTCACATTATGTTTCAGTTTCACCACTTTCAGTTACTTCCAACCACCACCACTGCGCAACAACAAAATGGTCCACGACACCATTGAAATAACAAGAAGGGGAATATAAGACATATAGAAGGGCAATGAGGTGTGTTGCTGTCTGTACGAGAAGCCTACGAGCCCTACCGCTGAGGTGTGTTACTGTCTGTGAAAGTATGCGGAGGCTAAGACATCTATGTGCCCTGATGAAATGTGAAGGGTGGGTTGTTTGAAGAGCAAAGTAGGTAGTGCAATGTAGTTGGTTTTCGTGAGTATAGTCATCATTTTCTTGAGTACATCAATGTTTCAGTGTACAATATCTTATTTCTTTGAACAATTCAGTCGAAGTCTGTATTTCCACGCTGATTTTATTCATGTTATCTCGGAAATTGACTATTTTTCCAATACACACACACACAGAAAATCGCGCCGAGGGGCAGGAAGTCGTAATCTCGGGCTGTTTCAGTCACCTATAATGAATTATTGAATATTCGAATACTCTTCCTTCTAATCTACTCTGAACTAAAAATATCAATGTTATACAAGGTGGCTCAACGAGAAATCAAATCAAATCAAAATATGCTTTATTGTCGGAAGATTGGTATCTTATTGACAAAGTCTTGTATATAAAAAAAAACAAAATATCAGATATGTATAAATATAAAACACATGTCACAAAACAATTAATAAATGGGTTAAATTAGATTAAATAAAATAAACATAAAATACATTCACATCTGCAGAAAAGTCAAGTTATAATTTCCAGGTTATCACAGTAGAATTCATTGATTGAATAATAAGCCTTTTCGATCAATATATCTTTAATCGAACTTCGGAACTTTTTGATATTTGTAATATTTTTTAGATTAGTAGGAAGGTGATTGTATACTTTAATACTTTCATAAATCAGAGAATGTTTAGTCAAAGCAAATTTTGGAATGGGTAGATGAAGCATATGGTTCTGTCTAGTGACAATTTGTTCCGGGAGTGTACATGCTAGTTTTATTTTTATGAATTGAGCATACTGTTTCCATTATGTATAAACAGGTGACAGTTAATATTTTGTGGCTGATGAATAAAGGCTTGCAGTGATCTCCGAATTTAGACTTTGTAAGGTATCTCAATGACCTCTTCTGAAGAGCAAATATCGTATTAAGTAACTGTAGATTACAATGGCCCCAGAAAGCTATTCCATAGCGAATATGAGATTCGATCAATGCAAAGTAAGCTATTCTAGCCGTAGTATACCCTAGTACATTTGATATTACTCTAATTGCATAACATCCACTAGAAACTTTCTTACTCAAATGGAATACATGTTCTTTAAAATTTAATTTATTGTCTATATAAATGCCTAGGAATTTAGAGTGCTCTTTGTTTTCTATGTAGCGGTTCTCCAATTCTAAATCGTCTAGTACACATTTGAAAGTAACTAGCTTTGTTTTGTTTAGGTTGAAGCATAAAGAATTCGCGTTACACCAGGTTTGAATTTTTTGAATATCTATTTTTATCATATTTGATAGCTGATTAATATCTTTATGACTCCATATAATAGTGGTATCGTCGGCAAATACAGTGGATCGCCCTGCGATGTCAATGGTTATTAGGTCATTTAAATAAATCAAAAACAACATTGGTCCTAAAACAGACCCCTGAGGTACTCCATGTTTTATGTCACTTATATCAGACTGTCCACTTGATGTTTTCACAACCTGGCGACGTCCTGACAGATATGACCCGAACCAGGTCAAATTTGTTCCTCTTATACCATAATGGCTGAGCTTCCGCAGCAGCGTTTTATGATCAACGCAATCGAAGGCTTTCGAAAAATCACAAAACACTGCTGCAACAGCCCTGCCACTATTTATGCTAGAGTATGCATTCTCTAGAAAGGAGAAAATAGCATCTGTGGTGCTTTTCGAACTTTGAAAGCCGAACTGAAGACTAGATAGCACATTGTTTATCGATAAGTAGGACATTAATCTTTTTTTCACTAATCTTTCAATAATTTTTGAAAGGGTCGATAATAAAGAGATGGGCCTGAAATTTGAGGGATCCTCCAGATCTCCACCCTTATGTAATGGAATTACCATAGCTATTTTCAGACAAGTCGGAAATATGCCACTCCTGAATGATTCATTAATGCATTCCACCAAAACATGAAATGCACTTAGAGGTAGGTTTTTAAATATTTTTACAGATATTCCATCTTTACCCGCCGAATTTTTATTTTTAATTTCATTGATTATCTGTATAAGCTCATGCACATCGGTATCTGTAAGAATGAAGTTGTCAGCAACATTTACATTATTTAGATATTCCAGGGGGTCACAACCGGCTTTTATGTTCTCTTTCAGTTTTTCGCCAATAGAACAATAGAAATCATTGAGTTCATCTGGAGCTAGGTTAATTTTAATCGGATTTGCCTTATTATTACCTCTAAGATCATTAACTATGGACCAGTTTTCTTTTGTTTTATTGTTGGCTGTTCTGATTCTCTCTTCATAATATTTATCTTAAGCCCTTTTAATAATTTGCCTATAAATACTCCTATATTTATTGAAATATTTTAAAAAGCATGCATTATCAGTATACTTCCTAATTGTATGTAATGACCTTAGGTTGTTTCCTGAATTTTTTATGCCAGTTGTAATCCATGGTTTCTCATATTTTTTTATTTTCAGCTTATACACAGGAAAAGACCTTTCAAAAATGTTTGTCATAGTATTATGAAAAACAAGTAAGGGTTCTTCATCATCTAGCAAACTATTCCAGTTAATCATTTCACAACATTCTCTGAATTTATTGTAGTTCTTTCTGCTATAAATTCTACCATATCTGTAATCACAAGGGTTTTTTATTTTCAAAAGTACTTTCACATATAAAGCCTCGTGGTCCGAAAGACCAGAAGGAATAACCGAACAAGAAACATTTGCTTCGTCGAAATTTGAGCAGGCATAATCAATAGTAGTGGATGAATGCTGCGAAATTCTAGTAGGCTCCGTTACATGCATTTTAATATTGAATGATAAAAATAAATTGATTAAAGCTAATGTCATTGCTGATTCTTTATCGTCAAAATTAATATTCAGATCACCAGCTACAAAAATATGTGCGTGAATGGGTATTTCAGAAAGGAGAGTTTCCAGTCGATCTATGAAAATGTGCCCATTTGAGTTAGGTGGTCTATAAATTCCTATAATATACAAAAAGTTCGTTCTATTGCATACTATAGAAAATTCAAACTCATTTTCTACTAACATAAAATCAAATTTATCAACATTTGTGAAGTCACTGACGTTGTTTTTCAACAGAATCATCGTTCCTCCATGCCCAGTACTTGGTCGACAATATTTAGATGATATGGAGTAATTCGGAAGATACAAAGTTTCTTCAACTTTTAACCACTGTTCCGTTAAGACTAAAATATCTGTCATTTTTTTGTTCACAAGGAAAACAGAGAGTTCGTCAACTTTATTTCGTATCGACTGAATATTTAGTACCAGCATGGTTATGTCATTTAATTGACTAGTATTTAGTAGTTTATTTCCTATAATATTTTGAACATTTGAATGGATGGTCCTAAAGGTCGTTGAGACACACTCATTTGTTGGATTTCTAAGACTAACTAAGTCTGATTTCCTTTCATGTGATTCGACTGAAACAAATTGTCGACAGTTTTATGTTTTCCATTACTTTTATCAATTGAAATGTCAGATAGATCTATGGTGCATTCGTTATGTGTAGTTAATAGCATACTATCATTATCAATTGTTTGTACTGATTTTAATACAATGTTTGTAAGTTTTCGTGACATGATTTGAGCTTTTATTTGACTAACAATCTCGTATTTGCTATTTTTTAGTTTTGGGTCCTTTACAAATGTTATTGAGCAATTTCTGTTAAATCGAGTGAACCGTCTGATGTAATTGGTTATGAACTTATTAATAATTTGATCAGATGGGACACTACATTCAGACACTACTATCAGATTAGTGACCTTACTAATATTGAGAATATTTCTCAAGGCTAAATTCAAAGATCTAGTGTGTTTAAAAAGTGTTTAAAAGTGTTTTTAACCGCCAGCTTAGTTGCAAAGCAACCCTCGAAAGTCAGAGACTTGTGTTACTCACATTTTTCGTACTAAACATAACTATTACATAATCAGTTTGTCCATAATTGATAGCATAATTAAAAATAGTACTTGTCAAAACAGAGAGTTCTCCACTAGGTTCTAGTATTTCATTCACAATGTATTTATCCTCACCAATGAATCGTGTCATCACATTTGAAAAGCCTTCCGCATATTCATCGCCAAGAATAAGAATCCTAGACATTACTATAGGAGATTCTATGAGGAGGCTGTCCTGAATTTTGTCATAATTGTGTTCTACTCGTAATTCATTTCCTTCAGAATATACGTTACTGGTATGTTCTTCTTCCGGTTCTTCAGGCAGTTGACAGCGATTTTGGTTGACTTTTTTTTCGCAGGAGGTTTCCGAATCGCTGCTATTGATTGAATCACTTTCCACAATATGCACTTCGAAACCATTAATCTCTGTTGATTTGGATTTCTTGTCTTTAAGGTTTTTAGAGTGATCTATCTGGCTAATTTGTTGTGTCCTGGTTCCTTGATGCATAGTGCATTTCGACCTCTTCTTCTTTTCATTCAATTCCTTTGGTAGGTTCGTTGACTTGCCTTCTATATTTTCAGATGAGGCTTCTTTGTTATATTTCTTTTCCACTTGATGATCAGTTTGATATTCTATAAGTTTATTTTTGAAGAACTGATTTTCCTTTTCCAGTACAGCAATGGAGGTTAGCATACTTCTATTTATCTCATTCAATTCCATCAAGTCTTGCTCGAACTTTTTCAAATCACTGTTTCTACTCTCCAGATTTCTTTCCAGTATGTCTTTTTGGGAACTTATTTCAACTACCTTTTTATTGAGAGTCTCAACCAAATCATTCTGTATTTTTTGCTTTCTTTCATATTGTTCTTCAGCCTCAACAACCTCGGCCTCAAAGTCCTTTGTTCTTCTTCTGAGTCTATTAATGAAAATGTCTTTCTCTTGTGACTCATTCGTCAGTTTCTTCACTTCTTCTATAAGATCCTGTACCTTTTCATCTTTCATCTCTCTCTCGAAACATTCTTCCTCACATTGTTTACTACAGTATATTTTGTGTCCTTCCAGAATTTTGAAGCCAATTCTTCTATCTAGGCAGCTTGGATGGAAAACATTCGAACAAATTATGCAGCAATAATTACTAAACTCCTTTTTACAACACGTGAATTTTCTTTCCATCTTGTCCAGTCCACTGGGTATCCTTGCGAATTTCAGCTAAAGAACAGAGCCACCGGCCCACTAGTCACTTCCAATTTATATCTGATATAGTCCGATATTATTGTTTTTATACTGTCCGTTTTTTCAGTAATAAAAAAGTAAGGCTCCATACATTATATTTATCACAACAGATCAATTCAACCAAAGTTAACGTTTGATTAAATGACTTTTTCAAATTCACTTTCACTACGAGATTCCCCTGGAGCTTAGCTTCAAGATGATATTATACATATATTTGTTTTTTGAATTTTTCCCACGAATAATAGCTTTTTACCCATCAGCACACACACGCGCTGCTCTGAATCTGGATTGTGCGACTGAATATCTTGTTTTCGTTTTTTCTGAGGCTCTTCTATGTATATGATATTCCTAGAAGTGTTTGATCAATTATCGAAAGATATGTAGACATTAACATATTTACATGGCAGATATCGTGAAATCATTGGTATATATATTATATATGCTGTACGAGTTGTACCATCTTCGCGACGAGATTTGGTTGTTATACAAGGTATTTTTTTTTGTTTGCCATTAATATAGAATGTGTAATACCCTGTATAATAGCTTTATACCGGATTTATGAAGCGTGACATAACCTCAAAGAGCTTTGTCTAGTATTGGTATGTTCGCGGTATTTCGCTATAGGTTTCAACCTCGGCTTCAACTAGGTATTTCTTGCAATATTTTTACACCATTCCAGCTGTATGGAAAGTCTACCCGCGAGTCCTCCTGTATCTATAACTCAAACACCCTACATATCGACCCTGTTATTGACGCATTTTGATATTCACATTCAAAAAAGTACCTCTAGATCTAGGGAATAATCTGATCTACTCTACATGGGCTCTTATGGGGCTTTCCGCCGTGCATCGTGTAATTTCAGTAGAGTCTAGGGAAAACGGACTTGAAATTTACCGGTGAAGCGATGAATCATAGACCAAAAGTTTCGCGTGATATCTGTGCTATTTTGAATCGATCGCCATTTTGTTTCAATAACCATTTTGATTGAAATTGGTTGTCATCTGTCATACGTCATACGTCAGTTATCTAATTCGGAGGGGCTACTCATGAGTCCCTGTGTTTTTTTTGTCACTATTCATCTCTTCCACCCTGTATATATCCATTATTGAACTACTAGGTGGTGAATGTATCTTTTTGGGTTCACAGTGTATATTACCATTCATTTTGTTATTGTGGATGTGTTATTTTCAATCTTATCATCAACTAGCGGGTAGCCAGCTCGTCGTCTTACGTCATATGTCGATACGCCATTGCCAAACGACGAAATGCAGATTACGGAGCACAATATCCGATAACTTCAAACGGCTGGCAACGTCGACATGCTAGCGTTCTGCCGCTCTCCAGAGTCTTGTCGCTTATCAAAAATATAATTTTATTTAATAAATAAATCTAGAACCTATAGCTTTGTTCGCCGGTCCCATTTGAATACGATTTTCATAGTGGCATTTTCATGGGCGCCTGAATACCACAGTACGTATATACGTTGCTCTATAATGCAAGGGTCTCGAGTTCAATCCCTACAAGCAAACTCGTACACAAATTCGTCTAGTGGTGTGGCGCCATGGTAGCGCTTCGGACTCGCAGTCCGGTGGCCGGGGTTCGATTCCTCGCCCGCACAGCCCAATTTTTTTTATTCATTATATTTCCATCCAATATTTGAATTTCGCGCCGCTCGTGGGACCGCGAGTAGCTAGCCGAGTCAAGCCGGCCTGTGATTGGCTAGCCGAGTCACGTAGTTTGGAGAAAAGTGGAGTGGAGAGGGTGAGCCATCCTCTGGCGACCCCTACTGACGACATCGAAGCGGGTATAACGCACACAACAGGCAGCACAAGAAACTTCGACTGACATGCCTACAGCAAGAGCAGGTACGATCGCACTGACCATATTAAACGACTTCGAAGGACATATAACGAGAATAATAGGCAGGTGAAAATATTTTGATAACATCAGTCTGCACACTGTATCTCTGTATTCTATCATCTCACATGGATACCTTTGGAGCATGGTAGTTCGCAACCATCATATGAGTTGACATCGAATCGGGTATAACGCACACAACAGGCAGAACAAGAAACATTGACTTCGATTATTTTCATTCTGTAACTTTGCATTCCAGCATCTGACGATCGCACTGACCATATAAGACGACTTCGAAGGACATATAACGAGAACAATAGGCAAGTGAAGATACTTCGACAACATCAGTTTGCATACCGTATCTCTGTATTCTATCATCTCACATGGATACCTCTGGAGCATATGAGTTCGCAACTATCATATAAGACGACATCGAAGCGGGTATAACGCACACAACAAACAGAACGAGGAACTTCGACCCCGACTATGCTTACACTGTTACTCCGCATTCTAGCATCTGACATGCCTACAGCTATAGCAGATACGATCGCACTGAACATATGAGACGACTTCGAGGGACATATAACGAGACCAATTGACAAGTGAATATGCTTCAACATCAGTCTGCACACTGTATCTCTGTATTGTAACATCTCACAATCTCACATAAATACCTTCGTAGCATGGTAGTTCGCAACGATCATATGAGACGACATCAAATCGGGTATAACGCACACAACAGACAGAACAAGAAACTTCGATATCGACTATGTCTACGATGTAACTTTGCATTCTAGCATCTGACATGCCTTCAGTTATAGCAGATGCGATCGCACTGACCATATCAGACGACTTTGAAGAACTTATAACGAGAAAAATAGGCAAATGAAGATACTTCGACAACATCAGTCCGCACACCATATCTCTGTATTCTATCATCTGACATGGATATGTTTGGAGCATATCAGTTCGCAACGATCATTTGAGACGACATCAAAACGCGAATGACGCATAAAACAGGGAGAACAAGAAACTCCGACTATGTTTACACTGTAACTTAGCATTCCAGCATCTGACATGCTTGAAGCTATAGCAGATACGATCGCACTGACCAAAAAAGACGACTTCGAAGGACATATAACGAGAACAACAGGCAAGTGGAGATAGTTTGACAACATCAGTCTGCACACTGTATCTCTGTATTGTATCATCTCACTTAGATACCTCTGTAGCATATATGTTCGCAACCATCATATAAGACGACATCGAAGCGGGTATAACGCACACAACAGGCATAACGAGAAACTTCGACTCCGACTATGTTTACACTGTAACTTCACATTCTAGAATCTGACATGCCTATTGCTAGAGTAGATACGATCGCACTGACCATATGAAATGACTTCGATGATAATATAACGAGTATAATAGGCAAGTGAAGATACTTCGAGAACATCAATCTGCACACAGTTTCTCTGTATTCTATCATCTCACATGGATTCCTTTGGAGCATATCAGTTCGCAACGATCATATGAGACGACATCTAAACGGGTATAACGCACACAACAGGCAGAACAAGAAACTTCGACTTCGACTATGTTACTTTGAATTCTAGCATCTGACATGCCTACAGTTATAGCAGATTCGATCGCACTGACTATATAGGACGACTCCGAAAGACATATAACGAGAACAATAGGCAAGTGAGATACTTCGACAACATCAGTCTGCACACTGTATCTCTGTTATCCTACATCTCAAATAGATACCTCTGAAGCATATAATAATGTTCCCAACGATCATATAAGTCGACATCATATAAGACGACATCGAAGCGGGTATAACGCACACAACAGGCAGAACAAGAAACTTCGACTATGTTTACACTGTAACTTCGCATTTTTGCATCTGACATGCCTACAGCGATAGCAGGTAAGATCGCACTGACCATATAAGACGACTTCGAAGGACATATAACGAGAACAATAGGCAAGTGGAGATAATCTGGCAATATCAGTCTGCACACTGTATCTCTGTATTCTATCATCTCACATGGATACCTCTGGAGCATATCAGTTCGCAGAGATCATATGAGACAACATTAAAACGGGTATAACGAATACAACAGGGAGAACAAGAAACATCGCTTCGACTATGTTTACAATGTGGCTCTCAATTCTAGCATCTGACATGCCTATAGTTGAAACAGATACGATCTCACTGACCATAAAGATAGACTGTGAAGGACATATAACGACATTCATAGGCAAGTGAGGATACTTCGACAACATCAGTCTGCACACTGTATCTCTGTATTCTATCATCTCACATGGATACTTCCGAAGCATATCATATCGCAACGATCATATAAGACGACATCGAAGCGGTTATAACTCACACAATAGGCAGAAAAAGAAACGTCGACTTCGAATATGTTCACACTGTAACTTCACATTCTAGAATCTGACATGCCTACAGCTATAGTAGATACGATCGCACTGACCATATAAGATGACTTCGAAGGACATATAACGAGTACAATAGGCAAGTGGACATACTTCGAGAACATCAGTCTGCATACTGTATCTCTGTATTCTATCATCTCACATAGATACGATACCTCTGGAGCATATAAGTTCGCAACGATCATATGAGACGACATCATAGCGGGTAAAACGCACACAACAGGCAGAACGAGAAACTTCGACTTCGACTATGTCTACACTGTAGCTTCGCATTCTAGCATCTGACATGCCTACAGTTATAGCAGATGCGATCGCACTGACCATATCAGACGACTTTGAAAGACTTATGATGAGAACTATAGGCAAATAAAGATACTTCGACGACATCAGTCCGCACACTGTGTGTCTGTATTCTATCATCTCACATGGATATGTTTGGAGCATAT